TGTTTTTAAAACAACATCAAACATACTTACTTTCATTTTAGAGTTTCTTTCTTTGTGTGTGCCTAAACCCATGTCAATGTATTTGATAGTTTATTTTTCAATTAGTTGTGCATGTGTTACTCTATTAAAAGCATACTCATTTTTTCGTCTGTTCATACAAGCATTTACGTACAAAAAGTAACTATTACAAAATATGAAATGAAATAAATGAAATTGGATTTTTTTTAAATACTACTGAATAGAAAGTTTCATTTTATATATCCAGTTAGGTCTAACTTGTGTTGTTTTCAACAGCTATTTATCTTTACCTATTGGAGCATTTATGTAGCCGCGAAAATAGCATAGAACACCAAAGGACAGGAAAATTGTTGACCAGTACAAACACAACTTGCACTCGAATTCTAGGCATACTAGACCTACACTGATAAATCCAATTTTTTTTCGACTATTTTTTTTGTTAAGCTAAATTTCTCTCTGATACTCATCGTTTGTTTTCAGTAACTAAGTAATTCTTGTACTTTTATGTGTTGTTAAGTATTAAGAAAATTTTAACACACAAATAAAAAGGTTTTTTTGTCATTTGAGTAGCTTACATGTTACAGAACATTTAGCTTACCATACTCGCTAATCCTAAATATCCTTACCTTATGTGTTCTCACATACGGATATTCCTGTAGTTTTAAAACAAACATAATATAGCAAACAAAAAATACCTTACGTACATATAATCACAAACCTATACTGACATACATGTAGTAGGTCTCCAACTTTCACACATGATCACATACACTAGTAGCTCTTGTAAGATTGACCCAGGCATGCGCAGTGTTACCATAGTTATATAAGGGGCTCGTAAAGCAAGAGTCGCAACACCCATTTAGTTGTTGGTTTCTCAAATAAACAGTTTATGGCAGAACATAGCTATACTAGACTGTAAAGCTAAAACTAATTTTCATTCCGTCACTACCTTGTACATCAATACACCTTAACATCAACTTAGCTAAATACAATAGTCAACAGTAAATGTGCATTCATTGCTAGGGACGACCATCGAGCAGGGACCACTGGTACTCTGTATTGCTCCACACCAGTCGTTCCACTCATGATAATTGGCGTCACAGCACAGAAAACATCATTATCCTTAAGGAAACAAGACCTATATCATTAATACAATCATCCAATCCACTTTTTTTCCTTGTGGATAGCACAACTCCCCAAGTGTGCATGGAGGGGTTATACACAGTAAAGTGTACAATAGGGTCTATTTTCTAGAAAACCCAATGGCTTGTTTGGCATAACTGTCTTTACTCTAATCATAGAATGCAATTTTCACTTGGAAAACCATTCAGGAACTTATAAAGCTACACTGCCTCTACTATGATAAGGGAATGCAATTTTCACTTTTAAAATCATTCAGGCGCTTGCAAAGCAAAGGTCGCAACACTTATTCAGTTGTTAGTTTCTCAGTCAAATATTCCAGCTGTTGTATGAGTTATAATTGGACAATTCAGTACATATATAGTATCTTAAATTGCCACCGATGGCTCATAAAACAAGGGTCACTAAACTCTTTCAGCTTTTGGTTTCTTGACCAACACCTGTCCTAACCATTTCATGAGTACCATTTGTATCATGCATTTTGTACATGATATCTTACATCACTATCCGAGTCCTTAGAAAGCAATAGTTGCTAAGCCCTTTCAGTAATTACTGGCACGACCAAATGGCCATCCTGATTAGCTTTATAGTTAAACCCAGCCATAACAATCACGAAGTTGTCAATTGTGACATGTCCGAACTTTCCAACACCTCTTTAGGTGCTTCCTTATCTGACTCGTCAAACAGAGCCAGATAAGTACTTTCATCTTTCTTCTCATCAGCTGAGCTAAAATGCTCTATGAATATCTTGTCTTCCTTGACTATTGGCCTTGAATTCTGATTACTGACCAAACTATGTCGATCCATAACATATGGTCACAGCTTATCTACATCTTCATGTTGAAAGGTCCTCTTCTTGACTATTTTATTGTTGCCCAAATCCAAATTATTTTTACACAAACACAAAACAAACATAATACAAAACAATGCAATTTATTCACAAATGGTGTGGCAGCTCCTAGCTATTATCCAGTTCGCAAACAAGAAAAACAACTGTCTTTTTCATAATACTACAATTTATCTTTCTCACAGGAGAAAAAGGATAACAACGAATAGTGAATACACGCGCCATGTACATTAGTGAAAGGGAAGTTGAGTAACTTACTTGAGTGCCCTACTGCAGCCAAACTGAGAATTATAAAAAATATAATAATATTAAAGGGAAGCTAAAAGAATATAACTACATAACTAGACTGACACATCCAGAAAAACCAGCATTGGCAGAACATAATTACAAAATAGCCCATATTACGAGCTGAGACCAACATCAGGATACAGCTCGCCATAAGAAAATTAAAGAATTTCTTCACATGAAATTAACCAACCTACACTTATCAGAAACCTCGGCTTTGACATAGGAAAATTAAAGAATTTCTTCACATGAAATTAACCAACCTACACTTATCAGAAACCTCGGCTTTGACATAGGAAAATTAAAGAATTTCTTCACATGAAATTAACCAACCTACACTTATCAGAAATCTCGGCTTTGACATCAAAAACCTCTGTACAACCTCTCTCATCAAACTGTATAGCATTATTCAGCATTGGATACATTGCTCTCCCTTGTTTACAGTCGAACAATATATACATACACCACCTCTAGCGACGACATCATTTATCGTCTACCTCTTTTTCTTATCCAGACATTATCAGATACAGGGTCCACCAAAAGAAGTGTAGGGATTTTGTATACTTAGATTTTCCTTGGCCCGGCATGGCCAGGTGGTTAGGGCGCTAGACTCGCAATCTGAGGGTCGCGGGTTCGAATCCCCGTCACACCAAA